GTCATATACCCTCCAAGTAGTCTTCGTTTTAGCAAGAGTTTAACAGCACTTGCAACACAGTTAGGTCATATAAGTGCCAAAGATTAGAGGTGTTACAAGATAGTAACAAACACAACAAGAGAAGGAGGAGTTATTAGGCCGATAGGTGTTTGATAAGAAAGAAGGACCCTACCATATCAGAGGACCCACCAACCTTCCACTCTCAAGAGTTGCAGCTATAAAATGACTCTTAGCATATAAAACTATTTGATACACCTGAAAAAATCCTGTTATTAGAAACATTTTTCTATGTTGTTCGGTACCTGACGCAAGTTAAGAAGAAAAATAAATAAAATACATAATAACATTATTATAGTGTAAATGGAGACATCCTGTGTCAATCAGAAACGGCAAGGTTTCGTTTTCTTTAAGAAATATTGTATTTGTGGATCGAATGTTTTCAAAGTGTGATAGATAGATAGATAGATAGATAGATATATAGATAGATAGATAGATAGATAGATAGATAGATAGATAGATAGATAGATAGATAAGCAAACCCGTACGAAATAGAGAATTAATAGAGAGGTAATAGCAGCTATAAACACATACATAGGTAGCTGGGAGCTAGAGTAGAGAGACATACAGAGAATAAAGCTGATGGGTTTAGGTAGATTACTAAATGCATCGATAGAAACACAGACAGACAGAAAGATAGTGCCCTTTAGCTTCTCACATTCTTTTCCTGACAAGTTATGGTTCAGCTCCATTGTGACCATCTCTTCCCATGATGGAGAGTTGGTCGGCTTCGCAGCGGCATGTGTCCGAGCCTTTGCTTTCCGACTGCTTTCAGTGTCTGTTTTTGTTTTACTGCGAAGTGAGTCACCAAAAAGGATGAATTGAGCCATCAAAAGGGATGAAATGAGTCATGAAAAGGACAAAATGAGTCACAGAAAAGGATGAAATGATGCCATTATTGTGATTAGTCAATTAGTGTATTAGACTGGCACGCCAATGCCTGTGTTTTTACCGTCCTTTCAACTCTGAAATGTTGCTAAAGAGGGGACACCCCTAAAGCAAACGTCCATATCCAAATAGAGCTGGCCAAATTATGTGAAGGCATCCAGGATAACTTTCTTGGCTACTGAAGTTCAATATACCTAATTGGGGATTCGAACCTTGGCTAACCGCATTGCGGTTCAGAATGCCCTTAACGAAACGAACAGTAAAGTCTCTTACTATGCGGGGAGCGAAACATTGGACTAGATAGGATTTGATTAATTAAAAGTCATCAAAATGTGATAACAGAAATAATGTTCCGTGAAATGTGGGTAATATCAAGTTCATTTCAATGGTAAAGAAGGAGCAGGCTACACAATAGGATCTATCATCCAACTGCAGCAAAATTTAAAATTTATTATAATCCATAAATGTAAAATGATATTCCATACGACAACATTTCCATCTTCTACTGATAGTGCCAAATGAAGCAACCAAAGTCTCTGCAATTTCTCCTCTGTGTATTTATGTGAAGCGAATTGTGAAGTAGAAGAAAGAGTATCGGATTAAGTAACCGTAGCTAACAAAAGCCTGGTCGAGACACCCTCTCACACGTTCCCCCAGTCAATATAAGAAACCAGTCTTAAAAGAACACAAACAAAGTAAAAAATTCAAGAACCTAAAACCAAAAACTACAACCTAATGACCCTCCCCAGATAGAATCAGTTACAAAGACAACACACAATGAAAGCAAGACACGCGCCCCTCCCCCAACAAAAAACAACACCAAACAAAAAAACGAAAACAAACATCAACCCCAAACTAAAACAACAAAAAATAACAAAAAATAAAATCAAAACATACCAAACCCCAGACAAACTTTCTCTCAAAGCAAACAAAACAAAACAAAATAAAACAACCCAAACAAACACACACTCACCACCAAAGAAAAAACAACAACTGTACAATGTAAGTTTATTCTATCAAGTTTGGTACTCACGCAGTGGCAAAAGGTTGTGGTATTTTCCCTAGGGGACCATAGGGCAGGCTGCTGGCACCGTGCATAATGACGTCAATCTGCTCGAAGCCTGGGCGAGCCGTGTGTCTCCACTTTTGGTTGGTGCTGTATGTGGTCTTGTCGTTGTCTCGGAGAGGGGAGTCTGTGATCTGGCCCGAGGATTAGGATAATGATGTTAAATAATAAGGATTACAAATATGAAAATGATAATTATCATATAATGATGATGATTTTGATGATGATGATGATAATGATGATGATGATGATTTTAATGTTGATGATGATACTGATGATGATGATGATGATGATTTTTAAAAATGGCTCTTTTCGTCTACGCAGACGGTCAATTTAGCTTAAGATGGTCTCAAGGTTGTCTTCATGCAGCTTCTTTCATGGCTATTCTCTAGCATTTTAGTTCTTTCCTTTATAATTTTCCTCCATGTTTTCCGGTCCTCAGCTATTTCTTCCCAGATGTTAAAATCTACTCCAAGCTTAGATAAGCTGTTTTGCAGGTGTTTTTGTACCTCAATTTTGGTCTTCCTCTTTGTCTCTTTCCCTGGGCAAGTTCTCCATAGAGAAGTTGCTTCGGAATCCGGT